GACTAGGAACAAGATGATTTCACCAAGCCTCAGTTTCCAACATAGCCAGTGTAAGACCCAACTTTCTTTAAGACCTAATGGGTGTTTTCTAAACCCCCTGACTGCATTCCATCCAAGTAACAAGTGAGAGGGAATGAGAGGTGTGACTAATTAAAAATACTTTGTATATTAGGTGAGAGCTCCTGGGTATTCTATACATTCCTCAGATAAGGACAATTGCCCCAAGAGCCTGCTACTGAGCCTGACCACTGGCTTCTACTTCAATGTATGCAGTAGCCATAAAGATATGAAGAGAGCATCTTCCTTCTTATTGCTGCTAGTATGATGGCTAGTATGATGGCTTGGTCTCTCATCCCAAGACAGTTTTTCATGTAGTTCCACTGAAATGGTTTTATTTTAGATTTACATCATTTAGAAATGTCCAAATGCAACTAGTGTGAAATATTTGACCTGAAGATTTATAGATACAATCTAGAAAGCAAAGTAGTTCTCTTAGTGAAGATATGCATACTAGTCTCAGCACAACATAAGCAGCATGACTGCTAATCCCAATATAAGCATTAAAGTGACAGGTGATGAGGTCCGTTGTTTTTTTAATAGATGTGTATTCCAAATGTACACCATAGACAAACCAAATAATTTTCATAGGCTTGTCTGCCTGACTGCCCTCTCTGTTGCACGCAGACTGCATCTGCATTGCAGAATTAATGCAGTTTTGACACCAATGTAAATGCCATAACTCTATGGTATGGAATTCTGGGATCTGTACTTTGTTGTGGTATCAAAGCTCTCTGACAGTAAAGGCTAAATATCTCACAAAACTACTAATGCCAGAATTCTATAGCATTGAGCCATGGTAGTTAAAGCAGCATCAGACTACGGACGTTTTCACACGGGGTTTTAGGAGGACACTAGCCGGCCTCCCTCCGGCCCCACTCTGGCTCCACTGTCAAATTTTTCACATGACGTCGCAGGAAGCCCCGCCCCATCCAGCGCCATCCCTGGCGCTATCCGGCGTCCCTCCGGGGTCTTGCTGCGCGTGTTCATACGACGTCGCAGCAAGCCCCGCCCTATCCAGCGCCATCCCTGCGCCATCCCCGGCACTGGCCAGCTTTAGCCCCGTTTTTCTAATTCCTTTTTTAAAAAGGAATTACGGGGCTGCTGCTGGAAGCAATCAGGAGCCACTCCGGCGGCTGCTGTTTTCACCGCCGGAATGGCTCTTCTTTGCTTCCAGGCAGCTTCCAGCCGGCTTTAGAGCCATGTGTATGAAAACGTCCCCTGTTATTTCTGCAGTGCAGATTCAGCCACAGGCACCAGTCTTTAAAGCAGAGGTGGGTATTAGAGTTTTAGACAACCACTCCCACCATCCTTACCACTGGCTCATGGGGTTTCAAGGATTTGGTCCAAAACATTTGGAGGACCAATATTTCCCCAGCCCTCCTTTTATTAAAATGTACAGGAAAAAGAAAGAAATTGTGCCATTAGTTACTTATCTTGACACAAGTACTATCCAACTGGTATCTGTCAGAATCCCTTGTATAATCACATTCCACACTATGTGTACTTAAGGACAATTCAGCCAACCAAGATTCCAAAACATTTGAGTCTTTGAATACATGTTTTCATAACATGAATACAGAAAAATCTGTTTTCACTGTATACTCAGGTATCTTGAGTACTATACCTTTTATTCTTGCCTCTTTCAGCACAGCTGCTACGCCTCCTTGTTTTTCTATTGTTTCAAAAATCTTTTTTGAAGTTCTTTTGTTCTGCAGATGAGCCTCTGTTATACCAGCCTGGTCAAAGATTTTCTTTAGTTCAGGATCTAAACTGGTCTACAAGACAACCCACAACAAAAAAGACAAGTAGAAAAAATCTTACTTTTAACAGTACTAATTTGCCATGATTTTTTTTTTTAAGAACAGTTAAAAATCTGGCCAAATTCAATTGAACTTGAAGGGGGCACAGAGCCTGTTACTCATTAATCCTACATACATATTAATCCCTTTTCCTAATTCTTACAGAGCTTCCCCTACCAAACTGAAATTCCCAGAATTCTTTGAGGAAATCCAGAGGCATTATAGAGCAGAATACAGAGGTTTAATATAAACACGACTGTGCAGCTGTATTCAGAGAGGG